AAACTTATTGTTATTCACAATTCCAAACTCCAGTTGCATGCCGTCATGTTTGTTTAAATACATGGTAACAGGGGCGGATAACTCTAATATTCAGTCGAACAAGATCAAAACATCGTCTGCTTTCCGAATAAAAATTCAGCAAAACAAATATGTTTACGTTGATTCTATGTTATGTCAGAATAGATCCAGCAATAGACTGCTACAAAATTTCCGTGTTAAATTTATTATCAGCTTTCGTCAACGATATCGCCACTGATCTTGATCCGGTAACGGAGGATGCATTAACATCGAACGCCGAAGAAATTTTAGATTCTAATGCCTTCCGTCCACATAAATAAACAGTTGGGTTATCAATTCAAACAAAATGATATTTTGAAATTTGTACTGTTTCAAATTTAGCGGTAGTAAAACACAATTAGATCTACAGAATCTGCAAACCGTTCTGTTTAGCCCAACATATTTTTTTTTCTAAATGTATAATATCGTTGAAAAGTTATTTAGCTTAGTCATGATCCCTCTTATCCATTACACTGCTTGATCTAAAGTAGTCTATTAAAGTATAATTAATTACCTTACCGTGTTTATGCCAGAGGTACACCCTCGTGTCCTGATCCATCCTTTCGGAAATATCACCACAAATCTGGCTCTTTGTCAACAGACTCGCGAACATGCCAGCCAATCCGATTCAATTTGAATTCACTACACTTTGAAGCAACTAGGTCACAAAACACTTTCCAAAATGTAGAAAATAATATCCGTAGAATCGAATTTGAGCACAAAGTACACACATGAGTGTGTTAGAGTCACCACAGCTGTCGCACGCAGACGTAGAGGTGCGTGAAATCGTCAAGTTGACAGGGCGCAAAATTCAACAGTATCTAAATTCGGTACAACACGGACTTCTCGTTACAGCAAAAGCGCCCCTACTCTTAAATTTTGTACCAGTACCAGTAATTAGATATCAAACACTATCTCAGTCATACAATCAGGTTAACCTTTGCGCAAACTGTCAGTGGCTCTCCTGTCGCATCTTTCCAAATGTAAACAATGACTTCGAGAAAGGTCAAGGCCATGAGGTTGCTGCCACTATTCTGGTGGGGAAAGGGTCTACGGTGGAATTTTCAAATGTGAACCAAGCTTTTGAAACTTATTTGATATATGTTTTCCAACTTATCAGTTAATGATTGGTGATTGATGCATTGAAAACAAAACGTGATTTGTTATTACTGAATCTGGAGTTTGTTAGTCATTGACGGTTTGCCACCAAACACCCGTTTCGGGCGATACCACTTGAGATTGGAATGCGAGGCCGCTTCACGTATTGACTCGTAACCAAAGAAAGAGCTCCACCTGAAATTGTTCATAAAATTGTCATGGTAGAATGGAGATAAACCTACTGTGTTGGAAAATCAGAGGTATATAACGAAATTATAATAGCTCTAAATTGTTCATTTAAAACCTCACGCTACGCGTTCGGTTTTAAATGAAATTTAGAGCTATTATAATTTCGTTATATACCTCTGATTTTCCCACACAGTAGGTTTATCTCCTAAATCAAAATGAACTCCCTGTATTTTGCGCTGCACATTTATCAACGGAAGTCAATTACTAAGCTATCGATAGTCCAGTCTAAGTAAACTTAGGCTCAGTATTATTCGTTACACTGCTTATACTGAGTCATATGGCCAAATAAAGGCTTTGTGAAAGAGTTATCTCCCCTGATTTTACGAACGTCACATATCCCCTGTTGAAATTTGCTCGACATTCATGACTACAACTAAAAAATGATCTCAATCCTTCTGTCAATCACCTATCACATTCAATTACATGAGTGCTAATATATCTGCTACACTAGAATATTGCTTACGCATTTTTTGTTGGTGTTTTTTGTACGTAATTAGGCCTTTGAAATTAGGCCTGTCCAGCTTTTTTCACAACTTTCCAATGCACTTTTACTCACTACCGCTAGCTACATAATATCTTGCAAAACGGTTTCTAATGCAGACAATCATAAACACATTCAGGAAATGATTCTCCGATAATGTTTGAAGGGTAATATGTTTCGTTAAAACTTCAATTCATCTTTGTCCCTTTTCTTAACATAATCAACAAAGTTTTCCTCAGCAGTCTTTAACTGATTTTCCTTGTCCGCGATAACAGACTTCAGGTTTTCAACACTCTGTAAAGACTGATGTTTGTCTATCATAACAAACCAAGATACTTTGATGAGGACAATGTTTCATTAAACCTCTGAAACTGTAAACCACCTTTTACTCTGGCAGAAAGTCCAGCTTTCCTTAATCTAAACAATTCATTCCGTAAACTGTTTAAATCTTTGTCAGAAGCTCTGATGGTTAAACAAGCTTATCTTCAAGATCTATTTTGAACTCTTTAACAGTATCTAAGGTCAAAGACTGTGGCCAAACTTTCTCTGGAAGAAGAATTTGAAACAAAGTTAACTTAGATATAACCACCATTCTGACAGTTGTATCCTAAGAGAAAACAGTATTAATAACATTTCACAGAAAACGGAGGAAACACTTTTCCAAATTAAAACTACCAATGTATGTCATATATGAATAAAATCTCCTTTTCAAGACAGAACATATGATGTTATCTCCAGACAGTAGCCAAGCTCCACCCTCTATATGAACACAGCATGAAACGCATGCTTAAAACAGACGTGTATCTCAAATACTTCACAAACAAAAACTACCAATATATGGCATCTTAAAATAAAACACGAGGGACCAGTTGTATAATCTGAACTGCCGTACTGTCTCTAGTTTATAATACATCATCAGTCAGGAGATGCTGGAACATGCCTTTGTTCCCGGCAACCATTACTTGTGGTTTGGTTATGAAATTTGGTTCCACTTGATCTGGAAACAATATGTTATCCTTCATGGGTTTGGGTGTTTTCTTGTAAAACCGCACGGTTTGCGACTTTATGAACACGTTGTCCCCGGCTTCATTAAGTATCCTGTAGTCCCATCCCACTCCTAATATACGATCAAAGTCTGATCTACGCCTGATTGTGTACACAGTTTTTGACTTTGTTATTTTGTGGGTATCGCCATTGCTAGCCAACATCTCGAATTCAGCGTGATTGATATTTTCGAATCACTTCTCACTGTCGGCAAGAGCTGCTCTTTTAGCTGTAGTTTCAAGCTTGTAAGAAAGCTGCTTTCCATAGGATACATATGACACAATTCATTGTATGGTTTTACTTCATCAAACTTCCTCGGCCCCCCGACATAGTGTACCTTGCAGGAGTAGGAGGTTAGCGGAGTGACATGTACCGGGTAAAATCCCTCCTCCCATACAAAATACAACATTTTCGCATCAGATTTCTGGGTTATGCGTTTCTTTTTGGGGGAATAGTATATGTTGAATAAGTTATTCCTCATAAAAATTTTGCTGAAGTCGTTTAATAATTTATATTATGATCCTGAAAATATCTAAATGTTACAAGTATGCAAACAATTATTCGAGCTTCTGACGAGGTCAGTACCAGTGCAGGAAACCAAGGTCAAGTCAGAAGGCGTCTGAAGGCCATGTTTCGCCAACTGACCTCGTCAAGAGTAATTATTTCGTTACAAATTCAATATATAGTCTATGAAGCCTTTACATTGTCAAACTTGTGATTCATGACAGTAAGCAGCTGCATACCGTGAAACGTTACGACAAGAGGCCATTTTTTTCTGTAACAGATGTGGCCAATATACCTCACGTGACACGTCAATACCCATAATGTGATGAGTATACGAGGTCAGTAACAGTCGTTTCACATTGAAACGTGACTGAATTAGATAAGGACAAACTTTATGGATGAATTGTGATTGAATTGGTCTTGACAGTATTTTAAAGTAAAACTACATACCTCATAATCAACAACACACTCTTTACAAAATAAGAGTTTGAAAAAAGGATGCATTAATGAGTAATATATCACCGTCCACGAGCTCTCTGGTATGATCAAACAAAACGTTGGTTTGAAATATTCACATCCGAGTTTGAACAAGCTGGTTTGCTGATAAAGGGCCCACCTACTCCATTGTACAGTGTTGTCTGTGTGGGGGTCACATGGCTTTCAGCAGCTTGTCTGTGGTATCACCTCGCGCGGGTCGCTCTGCCGGTTGTTGGTTTTTTGAGTCACATCAGTTTGCATCGTGTTAACGTACGCATAATGTAAGTCACCTTGAAACTTGTCAATTGTTGCTCAGTGTTGCACGATACTTGCAGTTTTCATTGTAGCTATTACTTTACCATTGTTCCAAATACGTTTTGGAACAATGAACTGCAAATCAAACATATAATGTATCTGACCTGTGAAGATCCGGGTTAGAATTGATCTTCAGTAACCCATGCTTGTTGTAAAAGGCGATTGATGGGATCTGGTGGTCAGGCTCGCTGACTTGGTTGACACATGTTATCGTATCCCAATTGCGTAGTTTGATGTTCATGCTGTTGATCACTAGATTGCCTGGTCCAGACTCAATTATTTACAGACCGCCGCCATATAGCTGGAACATTGCTGAGTGCGGCGTAAAACTAAACTCACTCACTCTAATGTATCCACACAGCAAGAACATATACTGGTATACGACAACAGCGTTCAGAGAATGAAACTGTGGCATGTTGATTCAACCAAGTTACTAACCAACACTGCGTCTTTATGGGACATGGACGTAAGGCAGTATGAACTGTTGACATGAAGCAGTAACTGTTGGTGGGTAGCATGTTGGTGAAGAGATGAACTGTTGACATGAAGCAGTAAATGTTGGTGTGTAGCATGTTGGTGAAGAGATTAACTGTTGGGGGGTAGCATGTTGGAGAAGAGATGAACTGTTGGATGGTAGCATGTTGGTGAAGAGATGAACTGTTGGTGGGTAGCATGTTGGTGAAGCGATGAACTGTTGATGGGTAGCATGTTGGTGAAGAGATGAACTGTTGGTGGGTAGCATGTTGGTGAAGCGATGAACTGTTGGTGGGGATCATCAACTGTTGTTGGGTAGCATGTTGGTGAAGAGATGAACTGTTGTTGGGTAGCATGTTGGTGAAGAGATGAACTGTTGGTGGGTAGCATGTTGGTGAAGCGATGAACTGTTGGTGGGTAGCATGTTGGTGAAGAGATGAACTGTTGTTGGGTAGCATGTTGGTGAAGAGATGAACTGTTGGTGGGTAGCATGTTGGTGAAGAGATGAACTGTTGGTGGGGAGCATAAACTGTTGGTGGGTAGCATGTTGGTGAAGCGATGAACTGTTGGTGGGTAGCATGTTGGTGAAGAGATGAACTGTTGGTGGGATGCATGTTGGTGAACAGCATGTTGGTGGGTAGCACTGTTGGTGGGGAGATGAACTGTTGGTGGGTAGCATGTTGGTGAAGAGATGAACTGTTGGTGGGTAGCATGTTGCAAGAGATGAACTGTTGGTGGGAGAAGTTGGTGAAGAGATGAACTGTTGGTGGGTAGCATGTTGGTGAAGAGATGATGAACTGTTGGTGGGTATGTTGGTGAAGAGATGAACTGTTGGTGGGTAGCATGTTGGTGAAGAGATGAACTGTTGGTGGGTAGCATGTTGGTGAAGAGATGAACTGTTGGTGTTGGTGAAGAGATGAACTGTTGGTGGGTAGCATGTTGGTGAAGAGATGAACTGCATGTTGGGTGAAGCGATGAACTGTTGGTGGGGATCATGTTGGTGAAGAGATGAACTGTTGGTGGGTAGCATGTTGGTGAAGCATGAGAAGAGATGAACTGTTGGTGGGTAGCATGTTGGTGAAGAGATGAACTGTTGGTGGGTAGCATGTTGGTGAAGAGATGAACTGTTGTTGGGTAGCATGTTGGTGAAGAGATGAACTGTTGTTGGGTAGCATGTTGGTGAAGAGATGAACTGTTGGTGGGTATGATGAAGACTGTTGGTGGGTAGCATGTGGTGAAGCATGTTGATGAACTGTTGGTGAAGAAGATGAACTGTTGTTGGGTAGCATGTTGGTGAAGAGATGAACTGTTGGTGGGTAGCATGTTGGTGAAGAGATGAACTGTTGTTGGGTAGCATGTTGGTGAAGAGATGAACTGTTGGTGGGTAGCATGTTGGTGAAGAGATGAACTGTTGGTGGGTAGCATGTTGGTGAAGAGATGAACTGTTGGTGGGTAGCATGTTGGTGAAGAGATGAACTGTTGGTGGGGTTGGTGAAGAGATGAACTTGGTGGTGAAGAGATGAAGAAGAGATGAACTGTTGGTGGGTAGCATGTTGGTGAAGTTGGTTGGTGGGTAGCATGTTGGTGAAGAGATGAACTGTTGGTGGGTAGCATGTTGGTGAAGAGATGAACTGTTGGTGGGTACTGTTGGTGAAGGAGATGTTGGTGGAACTGTTGGTGGGTAGCATGTTGGTGAAGAGATGAACTGTTGGTGGGTAGCATGTTGGTGAAGAGATGAACTGTTGGTGGGGATCATGAACTGTTTGGGGATCATGGTGAAGAGGTTGGTGGGTAACTGTTGGTGGGTAGCATGTTGGTGAAGAGATGAACTGTTGGTGGGTGTGAACTGTTGGGCAGCATGTTTGTGTTGGTGAGCATGTTGGTGAAGAGATGAAACTGTTGGTGGGTAGCATGAACTGTTGGTGAAGAGATGAACTGAACTGTTGGTGGGTAGCATGTTGGTGAAGAGATGAACTGTTGGTGGGGATCATGAACTGTTGGTTGGTAGTATGAATGGTGAAGAGATGAACTGTTGTTGGGAAGTTGGTGGGAACTGCTGGGGGTAACAGGACTGTTGGGGGTAGCAGGAACTGTTGGTGGGTAGCATGTTGGTGAAGTGATTAACTGTTAGTGGGGATCATTAACTGTTGGCATAAAACTTGAACTGTGTATAATTAATTGATCGTAAGCAGCATGAACCGTTGGTTAAGAAATAAACTGTTGGTGGGTAGCAACAGTAGTTAGAGGAATAAACTGTTGGTTCAGTAGCATGAATTTCTGGTTAGAAGCATGAACTGTTCGTTAATGCATGGGCTGCCTGAACATTAAACTAACCGTTGATCAAGTGTCTGAAATAAACATATTTCACAGAAAAAACAGTTCCTAAATTATAATCATAAGATATAATGAAAAGGCGCCCAGAGACTCCCAAAACCTGTGGTAATCTGGACTTGCCACATATTCAAGACTTGCATGGGTTTTCACATTCCATGTGAAATAGAATTCATTAGTACGAATGTCCTTCCCATAGTGTTACATGACCTATCTAAATATTTGTATATGGATTACATTTCACGGAGTCTGCAATGAAGGTCCAAATGATGTTCCCATGCCGCCATTAAGTAGTGTCAGAACCCGGGGAAGAGTCTATCGGTGAAATCCACCACTCTGGCTTGATGCCAACTTAACCGTGTTCTGACGCAAGAGAAGGACAATATTGATACACTATATGGAATCGAACAGCACCATTTCTAGATCCCTCCGTATCGAGTGCTAAACTATTTGTCGTGGAACATTGATTAGCGGTATAATCACAGTTACATCACGCCGATGTGTAAACAGCAGTCAATGAGAAATCGAAACAGACAAACACGTCGTTGATATCGGGATACGACGATACACACGCAATGGAACATGGAAGTCTGAGGCAGATTAAAAGTACTTGAGGCCATTTTGCTCAATCCGCCACAGATCCGGTCCATAGCTACAGGCATGAAACTCTTGGTCGCTTTATCGGCTTGTGTATCTTTAGACTGCCCCTATTATTTTTTCCCTACTTTACATTACTTTTATTCCAAACCAGCATCACACATGTGGAAATCATAAACACAGATACACATATACATATACAGATTTAACAGTCATGTATGTGAGTGATCTCTAATAGTGTGTTACAGTTTTAACAGGCGTGTATCCCGATCTATGACCTCTCCACGTGTGTTACAGGTTTAACAGTCATCTATCTCACGCCGTGACCTCGTCATGTGTGTTACAGGTTTAACAGTCATGTGTCTCACTCCATGACCTCTCCACGTGTGTTACAGGTTTAACAGTCGTGTATCCCGTTCTATGACCTCTCCACGTGTGTTATATGTTTAACAGTCATGTATCTCACTCCGTTACCTCGCCATGTGTGTTACAGGTTTAACAGTCATGTATCTCAATCCGTGACCTCGTCATGTGTGTTACAGGTTTAACAGTCATGTATCTCACTCCGTGACCTTTCGGCGTGTGTTATGTGTTTGACAGTCATGTATAATACTCCATGACCTCACCACGTGTGTTACAGGTTTAACAGCCACGTATCTCACTCCATGACCTCTCCACGTATGTTACAGGTTTAACAGTCATGTATCTCACTCCATGACCTAACCAAGTGTGTTACAGGTTTAACAGTCATGTATCTCACTCCATGACCTAACCAAGTGTGTTACAGGTTTAACAGTCATGTATCTCACTCCATGACCTCACCACGTGTGGTACAGGTTTAATAGTCATGTATCTCACTCCATGACCTCTCCACGTGTGTTACATGTTGAACAGTCATGTATCTCACTCCATGACCTCTCCACGTGTGGTATATGTTTAACAGTCATGTATCTCACTCCATGACCTCACCACGTGTGTTACAGGTTAAACAGTCATGTGTCTCACTCCATGACCTCTCAGCGTGTGTTACAGGTTTAACAGTCATGTATCCCACTCCATGACCTCTCAGCGTGTGTTACAGGTTTAACAGTCATGTATTCCACTCCATGACCTCTCCACGTGTGTTACAGGTTTAACAGTCATGTATCTCACTCCATGACCTCTCAGCGTGTGTTACAGGTTTAACAGTCATGTATCTCACTCCATGACCTCTCCACGTGTGTTAAAGGTTTAACAGTCATGTATCCCACTCCATGACCTCTCCACGTGTGTTACAGGTTTCACAGTCATGTATCTCACTCCATGACCTCTCCAAGTGTGTTACAGGTTTAACAGTCATGTATCCCACTCCATGACCTCTCCACGTGTGTTACAGGTTTAACAGTCATGTATCTCACTCCATGGCCTCACCACGTGTGTTACAGTTTTAACAGTCATGTATCGCACTCCATGACCTCTCCACGTGTGTTATATGTTTAACAGTCATGTATCTCACTCCATGACCTCTCCACGTGTGTTACAGGTTTAACAGTCATGTATCTCACTCCATGACCTCTCAGCGTGTGTTATATACTTAACAGTCATGTATCTCTCTCCATGACCTAACCAAGTGTTTTACAGGTTTAAGAGTCATGTATCTCACTCTATGACCTCTCCACGTGTGTTATATGTTTAACAGTCATGTATCCCACTCCATGACCTCTCCACGTGTGTTATATATTTAACAGTCATGTATCTCACTCCATGACCTCTCAGCGTGTGTTACAGGTTTAATAGTCATGTATCTCACTCCATGGCCTCTCCAAGTGTGTTACAGGTTTAACAGTCATGTATCCTACTCCATGACCTCACGACGTGTGTTACAGGTTTCACAGTCATGTATCTCACTCCATGACCTCTCCACGTGTGTTACAAGTTTAACAGTCATGTATCTCACTCCATGACCTCTCAGCGTGTGTTACAGGTTTAACAGTCATGTATCTCACTCCATGACCTCTCCAAGTGTGTTACAGGTTTAACAGTCATGTATCCCACTCCATGACCTCACCATGTGTGTTACAGGTTTAACAGTCATGTATCTCACTCCATGACCTCTCAGCGTGTGTTACAGGTTTAACAGTCATGTATCCCACTCCATGACCTCCCAGCGTGTGTTACAGGTTTAACTGTCATGTATCTCACTCCATGACCTCTGCACTTGTGTTACAGGTTTAACAGTCATGTATCTCACTCCATGACCTCTCAGCGCGTGTTACAGGTTTAATAGTCATGTATCTCACTCCGTGACCTCTCCAGTTGTGTTACATGTTGAACAGCCACGTATCCCACTCTATGACCTCTCCACGTTTGTTATATGTTTAACAGCCATGTATCTCACTCCATGACCTCTCCACGTGTGTTACAGGTTTAACAGTCATGTATCTCACTCCATAACTTCTCAGCGTGTGTTACAGGTTTAACAGTCATGTATCTCACTCCATGACCTCTCCACGCGTGTTACAGGTTTAACAGTCATGTATCCCACTCCATGACCTCTCCACGTGTTACAGGTTTAAAAGTCATGTATCCCACCTCATGACCTCTCCACGTTTGTTATATGTTTAACAGCCATGTATCTCACTCCATGACCTCTCCACGTGTGTTACAGGTTTAACAGTCATGTATCTCACTCCATAACTTCTCAGCGTGTGTTACAGGTTTAACAGTCATGTATCTCACTCCATGACCTCTCCACGTGTGTTACAGGTTTAACAGTCATGTATCCCACTCCGTGACCTCTCCACGTGTTACAGGTTTAAAAGTCATGTATCCCACCTCATGACCTCTCCACGTGTGTTATATGTTTAACAGTCATGTATCCCACTTCATGACCTCTCCACATGTGTTATATGCTTAACAGTCATGTATCTCACTCCATTACCTCTCCACGTGTGTTACAGGTTTAACAGTCATCTATCCCACTCCATGACCTCACCACGTATGTTACAGGTTTAACAGCCATTGTATCTCTCTCCGTGACCTCTCCATTTGTGTTACATGTTGAACAGCCACGTATCCCACTCTATGACCTCTCCACGTTTGTTCTATGTTTAACAGCCATGTATCTCACTCCATGACCTCTCCACGTGTGTTATATGTTTAACAGTCATGTATATCACTCCATGACCTCTCCACGTGTGTTATATACTTAACAGTCATGTATATCACTCCATGACCTCTCCACGTGTGTTATATGTTTAACAGTTATGTATCGCACTCCATGACCTCTCCACGTGTGTTATATGTTGAACAGTCATGCCTCCCACTCCATGACCTCTCCACGTGTGTTACAGGTTTAACAGTCATGTATCTCACTCCATGACCTCTCCACGTGTGTTATATATTTAACAGTCATGTATCCCACTCCATGACCTCTCCACGTGTGTTATATATTTAACAGTCATGTATCTCACTCCATGACCTAACCAAGTGTTTTACAGGTTTAACAGCCATGTATCTCACTCCATGACCTCTCCACGTGTGTTATATGTTTAACAGTCATGGATTACACTCCATGACCTCACCACAAGTGTTACAGGTTTAACAGTCATGTATCCCACATCATGACCTCTCCACGTGTGTTATATGTTAAACAGTCATGTATTACACTCCATGATCCCTCCATGTGTGTTATATGTTTAACAGTCATGTATCTCACTCCATGACCTCTTCACGTGTGTTACAGGTTTAACAGTCATGTATCCCCCCTCATGACCTCTCAGCGTGTGTTACAGGTTTAACAGTCATGTATCCCTCTCCATGACTAAATCAGAAGACAGAGTGAATCTGTATCTGTTTCTTTGATAGTGAATGCTCCACTCTCAACTGAGGAACACTGGCTGCTTTGACTGCACGTGTTAGGTGAAGGTATGTGTAAACAGTAACGGCAGCTCGTGATGTTTCCAAGTGACTGCAACACTGTGACAGGCTGTCAGCAATATACCGACGGACTAACAGCTCTCCTGATCGTCCTAGACCACTTCAACAACT